CCTGGCAGCCTGGGGTTTATAAGCACAAAAATCACAAACATTTGTTGCCAAGTTACAGTTCCCTATGTAGCTTACAATAACCTTGAGGCCTTGAGGTTCCTGCCTCTACCTGTTTGGGATTGCAGTGTTGTGTTTAAGACAGGTTTTCACAGTAGCCCAGGCTATCCAAGAACTCTATGTAGCCTAATCGGGCCTGTGACTCATGGCAATTCTCCTGCCTCAGTCTCCTAAATACTGGGATTACAGATGTGAACCACTTTCACATGCCTGACTCATTAAACATTTCTCATCATTGGCACTGCATGGCCCCTCATGGTGTGAAGTTTAAAAGACCATTTTATGGGCTATGGAGATGGCTCAGTCAGTAAATGCCATCCCTAGAACCTGTGAGAAAATGCTAGACATGGTGTTGCCTGTTTGTAATGCTAGTGTTGAGGTAGAACCCTTCCTTGCCAGCCAGTCTACCCTAATTAGTGACCTCAGCCAAATGAAAGACCTCGTGTCATAGAAAGTGAATAGCCTTCCTGAGGACACCTGAGGTTGTCTTTTGGCCTCCACACATGTACACACATGTGCATATGCATATAATTTTTTGAGATTTGTTTCGTTTTGTTTGTTAACACAGGATTTCTCTGTGTATCCCTGACTGTCCTGGAACTCTCTTTGTAGGCCAGGCTGGAATCAAACTCAGAGATCTTCCTGGTTCTGCCTTCCAAGTGCTGGGAGCAAAGGTGTGTGCCACCACCACCCAGCAATACAAATATTTTTTAAAAAGATCTCTTAAGTAGCCATTAAAATGCTCTGGGAAGCAGAAACAAAAGACAAAATGTGAAGTCCTCCTTCACATCATTATGGGGAGTAACTGTTGGGGCAGGAACTAAATTTAGCTGTCTGCTTCAGCTCTCCTTGTACACAAAATAATTAGATGGAATTATTAACAAATTTGCTATTTCTTTTTTTGTTTGTTTTGTGTATTCTTTTTTTTTTTTGAGACTGGGTTTCTTTGTGTAGCCCTGGCTGTCCTGAAACTAGCTCTGTAGGCCAGGCTGGCCTCAAACTTAGATCTGCCTGCCTCTGCCTACAGAGTGGGATCAAGATGTGCGGAAACCACTGCCCAGCTTAAATTTGCCTTTTTTTTGTTGTTGTTGTTGTTTTTGTTTTTCCAGACAGGGTTTCTCTGTGTAGCTTTGGAGCCAATCCTGGCACTTGCTCTGTAGACCATGTAGACCAGGTTGGCCTCAAACTCACAGAGATCTGCCTGCTTCTACTTCCTGAGTGCTGGGATTAAAGGTGTGTGCCACCACAGAAACTCTTAGAAAGGAAAACACTTGGGGCTGGAGAGATGGCTCAAAGAGCACTGACTGCTCTTCCAGAGGTCCTGAGTTCAATTGTGAGCCACATGGTGGCTCACAACCATCTGTTATGAGATCTGGTGCCCTTTTCTGGTGTGCAGATATACATGGAAGCAGAATGCTGTATACATAATCAACAAATGAAAAAAAAAAAAGAAAGGAAAACACTTAATTGGGTTTGGTTCAGAGGTTTAGTCCATTATCATTATGGTGAGAAGCAAGGCAGCATGCAAGCAGACACGGTACTAGAGCTGAGAGTCCTTACAGCTTGATCCAAAGGCATCATGAAATGATCTGAGACACTGGGCTTGGCTTGAACATATGAGACTTCAAAGCCCACCTCCACAGTGATGCATCTCCTCCTATAGGACCACACCTACCCCAACAAAGCCACACCCCCTAATAATGCCACTCCTTTTGGGGGCCATTTTCTTTCAAACCACCACACTCAGCAATTCCACAAAAAGAAGCAAACAACAAACAAAAGAATGTGAACCTGCAATCCTAGGACTGAGGGGGCAGAGACAGGAGGATCACTGGGGTTCAGTGGCTAGCCAGCCTTGCCAATAGGTGAATGACAGATTCAGTGAGAGACCCTGTCTTTAGAGATGAGGAAAACAGGCGAGAGAGGAAGATAATACCTGACCTCAACCTCTGGCCTTCACATATGCACATACACACACCTGTACACAGACATGCATACACATGCACACACCCACTGCTTGAACTTACACACATTATTGAGCGGAGTCACCTGGAAATCATCCACACCTGTGCTGAAGACTGACAACTGGAAAAACTAGGAGATATTCAGTGGTGATGGCACACATCTACAATTCTAACATTTAGGAAGCCAAGGCAGGAGGATCACCAATTTAAGGACAAACTGGGCTACACAGTGACCTGAAAAATCTTGGGAAAAGAATAATCTCAGCACCTGAAAGAACGATAATTATGAATGGCCAGAGACATGGATGGTGACTAATGTGGAAATACAGACCAATTTAAAAAATATTACAGGAATAAAGAAAGGGGGAAAAAAAAAACACCAAACAACATAACAAAAATGCTCCATTGGAAGCTCTGCCTCAACCCCCCTCCTTTTTCTCCAAGCCCTGCCCCTTCTCAGGAAGCCAGCCAAGTGGCAGCTCCCCCTGTCCCCCAGAGCTGCTCATGACCTCACCTACAGGGTATTTAAAGTCCAGTCCACTGACCTGCCTGACTACCGGGGATTCAAAATACTTTTCAAAAAATAAGTCAGATGTGGCACCAGAATTTATAATCCTAGCATCTGGGGAAGCAGAAGCAGGAGGATCTCTGCAAATTTGAGTCCAGTCTTGTTGACACAGGTAGGGCAGCTAGAGCTACATGTCTCAACAACTATAAAGTGAGGGCATGAGGCGAGGGTTTTTATTGTCGATGTGAGGGAGGGTGGAACCTGACGCATCTGGAAGATTCCAGAGCAGGGAGACAGTAGTAGACTGAACATGGGCCAGCTGGCTGGACCAGGCCATGAGGGAGGGGTGGGGAGACTGAGAGGGGAAGAGAAGAGACAGAGAGCAAAGAGGAGAGAGCCAAGACTAAGAGAGCACATGGTCAGAATGGCAGGGTTATATGGAAATGAGAAGCTGGGCAAAGGGAAGCCGTGAGCTGGAGAAGTTTTGGGTAGGGGGCGGAGTGAGAAGAGCTGAGAGGAGTCAGGATGCCAGGATGGACTCTGTAATAGGTACTTGCATCCTCAGAGAGCCCAGAGGCCAGCATGGCTGTGGTATACTAATAGGTATCACAGGTAGCCATTTGTCTGCAGTTTTTTGGATCTGACATTTTAGACTTTTTGATGATAAGGGGTGATGTAATCTCTTCTGTTACTGCTTTTTAGCTGAAATTAGGGTGTCATTGTCAGGGCCTAGGAAGGCTGGGGTGCTAAGAGGCTAGGAGTAGGGAGAGGATGGATACATGTGTGGCCAGGGGATTGATACGTGTATATTTAGGAAGGGAGGTGGAAAAATGAATCAACTGTAGACATAATGGTATTTGGTTGGATTTGAGGAGTGAGGAAGATAAAGGGTTTGAATAGGATAGGTTTCTGGCTTAAACATTGAAGGTGCTGATGTCATTAAATGAATGGGGACATAAGGATTGTGTGAATGTTCCTTTGTAAAAGTGACAGGCATTATGTTAGAATTCTTTTCTTTTAAAATTGTATTTCTCAGCCGGGCATTGGTGGCTCACTCCTTTAGTCCCAGCACTTGGGAGGCAGAGGCAGGCGGATCTCTGTGAGTTCGAGACCAGCCTGGTTTACAAAAACTAGTTCCAGGACAGCCTCCAAAGCCACAGAGTAACCCTGTCTCAAAAAACCAAAAAAAATGTATTTCTCCTCTGTCACTCTCTGTCTGTCTCTCTCTCTCTGTCTCTGTCTGTCTCTCTCTGTCTGTCTGTCTCTCTCTCTCTCTCTCTCTCTCTCTCTCTCTCTCTCTCTGTGTGGGTGTGTGTGTGTGTGTGTATGCTAAAGAACAAGGTGCAGTAACTTTCTACCTTGTGGATCAGTCCTGGGAATTGAACTCAGGTCCTTAGGCTTAGCAGCAAGTACCTCACTTACCTTTCCTCACTGCTAAGCCATTATGCTGGCTCAAGAAATTATTTTCTTGTTTTGAAGCGCCTATGGATACTACTGGTTTGGTGCTATCCAGCTGGACAGTTAGAGCAAGTCTGGGTTTATTTCTTATTATAAAGGCAAGGAACAGTCTTGTTATGAGAACAGCTCATTTTTATAGTGCTCAGTCATTAGCACCCCAAAGCTGAGGTAGTTATTACTTCCCCAGCAGTAAAATCTTGATTATAGCCCCTGTCTGCTAACTGTTCCTCGGTTCCTCAAACTTCCACAGGCAGTGTGGTATTAATGGTGATTAATCATCATGTAGCTCAATACAAAGACAAGAATATTCACTGTGGCTTCCTGAGGATGCTTGCACAGTTTTTCTGGGCCCTCGGGGCCAGGGATCTGATCGGCTCTCCTGGTGGCCCTGGGGCCTTCCCAAGCCTGAGCTAGCCAGCAGAAAGCGGCTGCCGGTGGCTCCGGACCCTCCCTCCTACCTGGAGCAAAGCATGCAGTGTCCTTTCTCCTTCAGGGACACCCCCACCCCTCTGCCGTCCTGAAGTCAGGGGCGGGGCTGGAGCCAGGCTCCTCCCTCCAGCCCCACCCTCTCGGCCAGCTCGTTTCGTGGCCTCGCTTGTGCGTC